CGTTAGGTATGAACCTTTGGTAAACATAAATATAGACAACACCATTACAAACTTGGTGCATTTCAATTTTCAGCAACTTCTGGGTTAATCATTCAATTGTGTCCACACTACAGTTGACAATTGGCTCTCAAGTTTTAATTGCCTGAAAGGTTACAATGGTATATGCGGCAGAGGTAGCAGGCTAATATGTACACCACATTGAATGTGAATTAGCTGGCCTTTAGAAGCAAGTTTTGATGAATTCAAGTATCTGTGCTTTTTCTAACTTGACTCTTTACCATTTCTAAAGGGGAAAAAAAAAATAGCAATAGCTTCATGTTTGTAGTGTAAATTTCAGCTTATTGTGATAGTCCATCCTCCATGGAAAGCAAACACTGAAAAAGATTATGAGAGGAAGCATTACCGTTTAAGCATAAAATATTTATTTATATCATCATACCTCGCCCTTGCCACTCAAGTTAAACATGTGCTAAAAAAAAAATAATGTAGATGATTTGTGGATATTGGTGAGCAGGCACATGTTTAGTTGGATAAAACAAAAGAAAAGAAGCCTGTGGGGGTAAGGTAAGGTGTGCCAGGTCCAGGGTGGATGCCCAAGAAGACAGTCGATAATGACGAAATATTCAAAGGGTAGGAAGTTGAAGACTAGTCTAACTAGGCCATTAGGACATGTGATGAAATTTTGCTCCCGCTTTGCTGGCTTTGTCTTTTAGCTTTTGCTTCGTTGGCTAAAGCAACTGGCATCCATCAATTAAAGAGTTAGGGAGGCCCATTTTTTATTTTTAACCCATGCTTCCGTACTCACTCTCAAGCACGATACAGGACAAGACCTCTTCTTTTTAATTTACCATTAAACAAAAAACATAGCTTTAATGATTATAGAAAAAGTTATTGTACATTAATATTTTATATAAAGTTTTGAATGTTATAATATAAAATATACAATAATCAAAATTTTAGACATAATATATAAAAAAAAATTAAAATTATTTAAAAAATATTAAATAAATTTTTATTCTTTTATTATATTTATTTCAATTTTTATACTTTTACTTTTAATCAATTAAGCTTTATCTAAAAGTTGATTAATTTTTATTTATTATTTTATGATACATAGTATTAATGTGACATACAAATATATTACAATAAATAATAATATAATATTATAACATAATCATGTAATATTTTTAATTCTCACGTTAAAATAAAAATTAATTTTTTATTAATATAATTAATTAATTATTAATAATAAAAATATAAAAATTTAATTAAACATAATAAAAAATAAATGTTCTTTAAAATATTTTAGTAATTCAAAAACTTTTTAAAATATATATAAAAAAAAGATAAATACCAAGAAGATGATTTTTTTTCTACACATAATTTTACTTCTTGTGATAGAACACATGCTTGCCCACATGGGAGTCCCGCTTATGCAGCATGTAATGATTGGTATTTGTATTAAACAAGTCAAAAACATGCATAGAAATATGGTCATCTATATGTAAGTAATTATTTGCCTACTACTTTCATTATCACGAGCTTCATACACACGAAATAAAAAGAAAAACAGAAGTAGTAATTATTGCATGTGATGGCTCAGATTTATTTGTTGAGGGAGATCTAGTTTATACATGTATGTATGTATAAGGTTTAATCGAGAGATAAGATGAGGCTGCCATAAGTTTGGCAGAGATTTATTTCTGACACTGTCACATTGGGTTACAAAATATTGGTTGAACAACTTATTTATTTGGTTCCCGAAGGTCGTCACGTGTATTATCAATAAACTTATTTCATTTATAAAAGATTAATGTTTAAGAGACAGATCGAGGAAAGAGCTTTCTTTCTTTTGCTGGCTCTGCTTCCTTCCTTGCATTTATCATATATCATATTATGGGCATGGATTCATAATTCATGAGAATAGTTAAATTTTATGAACTTGCCTTTTAATCAACTTACCTCGTCTTTGATTTTTTATTTCAAGATCTAAATTCAAGATTTTTCCCTATTCTAATGGCTTCACTTATAGGTAATAGTGCATTTAAGATTTTACATGAGAGATAGTTAAAAAATAATTATAAAAATAATTACATTTTATATATCAAATTTTACATATGTAATAACAAAAAAAATAAAAATTAAGGAGTGACAATCACTATTCCCGTGACTCCACACTTGATTATAAGTAGATTTTTTTACATTTATTAATATATATATTATGAGGATTGATTATATTATATGTTTTATATATTAAATGCCCAAATACATTTAATTTAATGTTTGTTTTCGTTTTATCCAATAAGAAATTTTTTGAAAAATTAATCCCGTTCGTTCTCTTAAACTTTTATTAGGGTAGAACATGCGCATTGATTTTAACTCCCTTTTTAAAATCAATCATTAACCTTAAGATCTCCAAAATTAAAAACATTAAACTTTCTATTTAAAAGATCCGTTCTAAAATAACAAAAAGACAAACTTTCTTTTCTTAATTCATCAAAGAATAACAATCACGAATTTTGTTACAAAAGGGAAGATTTTATATTATGAATTATTTATTTTATAAAAAAGAATAAATTTAATATTATTATAATTGTAATCTAACAATATCATATTAACGTAATTATACTAATTTAATTATCTTAACAGTTTGGCGTAACTTACATAAAAAAAACTTCAAAATAACTTAAAAAGGATCGACTTGATGTGCATTCATATAAATTTCACGTGATACGGAAACAAAATTGAATTTCTACTAATAAAGGAGCGTACGAATAAAAAACGCGTGTCGGGTAGGTGGAGGAGGAGAAAAAGAATAGTGTAATAAAAGAAAGAGGAGCAAGTGGGGACAGCCATGAGGCCATAACCGGCCAGGAAATACCGACGTACGTAAGCGGCAGGTGAGGGGATCGTCACTCAATGGGGGAGAAGAAGAGTGTAGTAGCTTTCAACTACTTAGCAAAAGGCACATCTCCACCTACCACACCCCATTTTCCCATCATGCTCTCTCCCTTTGCCAATCCTCACCAAACCCCTCCTCTTAATTCTTCTCTTTTTCCCCCCCCCTTTCATGTTTTCTTAATTTCTCATTAATTATTATTATATTAACAAAACAAGTAATGACTCCAATATCTCATTTTCAATAATTATTTCCTCATTATAATAGTGCTTTAGTGTGTTATAATAGTAACACTTTCTCCTCCCCAACTTTTTCCCTAATTGGGTTTTACTTTTACTGATTATTTGTTAGTAAATATGTATGGTATGGTATGATAAATCGTAAAATCTTTATTGAAATTTGTCTTGATTGGCTTCATAGAAAGGGTAACATTGACAGATGATATCAAACCATTTATTTATTTTTTTACTTATGTTGTTTGGCTTTTGATGAAAATGACTTAAGCTCTTGGGAATTTATTTTAAGGAAGAAACAAATTGGTTTACCATGAAATTTCAACCTCATTTAGTTGGTAGGTGGAAAAGCAGGAAACAGGAAAAAACACTCATAGGTTGGTAAGTGATATACATACAGATTTTGAAAACAATTAAATTTAGGCTAGAGTGATGGATAGTCAATGATAATTAATCCAACTATTTATTAATTTATTAAGTCCATTACCATGCTAATTAGATCGTTATGTTACTTCCATTATTCGCATTCTTCCATTTATCTAATGTGAAACTTTCATAAAGGTCTTAGATGAGATAATAAGTTTTCTTCTTCTTCTTTGTTAAGAATTAGCGGCAAAAACTCAAATAAGAAAATTTTTGACATATAAGTCGATTTGTTTTCCCTAAAAATCCTTTTGTAAATAACGAATGATAAACGAAAAATATAGTTAACTCAAATCTTAACAGAGACACTTCAACTTAAAAAATACCCTGAAAATTTTGAAAAATAAATTATTAGTTGTGCTCAAGTCTAGCAACATTTCTATGATTAGAATTAGAATATGAATATAGAAAAAACAAAAAAAGAAGAAGAAGAAAGCTAGGTCTTTTAGTTTTGGTAATGGCCTTCCTGAAGATTAGAAAAGTGAAGGGGACCAAGCTACTTAATTATTCAGTGTTTAAGTGTATAATGCTGTCATGCAATCTGATTTCTGAAAAAAGAAAGCTAATCAGATCTATTGATACCAATTAAAAAAATGAATTTGTTGGAATATTAAAACTATAATATGACAACTAGTGCATTTTTTTTTTTTGGGTTTCTGGTGGGAAGGCATGGCAACTACCCACTACTCAGGCCTTTGCTTCCTAACTCAAGAGTTTCATTTTTGTTTAAAACTTGATAGGGTCGGCTCTGGTTCTATTATACCCAAAACAGTTCTGTAATTGAAACATAACCTTTTCTCTAAAAGGAAAACAAAATGAAAAATAAATATGATTAGGTTTGATAATCATATTTGCTATTTTCTTACCAAACAGATTAAAATGAGGACTGTGGAATTTGTCAACAGGGAATTGGAATAATACCCTTGTTCCCACAACAGAGAGTAGTGACAATTAGACTTGACTGTGACAACACTTTAATTGATATATTTATTTTGCAGCTTGACTGATATGTAATTTAATTGATAATTAAGACATTATTTTTGAAGAAGTTGTGTTTACAAGTTCAGATCCCATCCTCCCCAAATTGTCAAAAGGGAAAATGGAAATCCCTTCTTAGCATACAACAATTGACTTAATCATAGTAACAATAAAGCTGTTCTAGTTTTCAAGTTCCTTTCAACATTGCCATCAAGGTCCCCAAAGAATTATTAACAAACAGAACAAAAGAAGAAGGGTTCAAAAAACTGAAGGAAGAAAGATTGAGTTTGAGATGGTATTCACATTCTTACACGAAACAAAGAAAAATTTTGGGAAGGACTTAATCAACTATATTATAAAAATATTTACCCAACAACAACAATAACAACAACAATTCTTTTTTTCTTTTAGCTTGTTGTTGAATCCATTGATGAATTAAAAATTCTCATAATAACAAAAAAAACAAATTAAAAAGTAAAATTAAAATTAATTTCCCCAATCTCTTTTTTGTGCAAATGATTTTTTTTTTTTACTTTTTTGTTTATTTCCATGGGATTTGCTAATCTTCCCTAGAGGGGCACCAAGGCGTCATATCCATAGGGTAACTTCCCAACACCCTCAAGAACGACGTGAACTCCTGAACCTCAGCCAACGCGTTTTGGGCCCTGACCTCCGCCATCGACGCTTCGAAATCCACGTAAAACATATACTCAAAATGCTTGGCAGTTCCCACATTGGCGTCGTCGACCAACCGGATCGGCCTGTTGCGGTGCGGCCGCGACTCGATTTTTGTTAGGCTGATGTTCCTAAACGCAAACGCAGACAGCACTTTGAAAAGCACGCTCGTCCCTTTGTCGTGCGCAAAAACGATGCTCGTTTTAAATGGCCGATCCGTACGCGGGATGATTGGCTCCCGAGCTAGCATGACGAAGCGCGTGACGTTGCTCGAATCGTCTTGGATTCCATCGGCAAGGATTTGGAGTCCGTAGAGTTCGGCGGCGCGTGCGCTTGCTATGGCGGCGGTGTCGCGAAGGTTGTTGGTTGCGATGTACTCCGCCGCTCCGGCTGTGTCGTCAACAGCTTCGCGCGTGACGTTGAGACCGAGTTTGGTGAGTGTGTGTTCGCACTGGGATAGAGCTTGTGGATGAGAAATGACACGCGTAAGGTACTCTTTACGGACTCCTGGGAGAGCTAACAGGCAGTGGTGGACTGGGAGTTGGACTTCGCCGACGATGTGGAGGCGGTGCCGGAGGAGTAGATCGTAGTTCCGATGAATCGAGCCGCCGAGTGAGTTTTCCACTGGTAACACGGCTCGGTCGGCGATCCAAAGCTCAACTGCTTGAAACGCCACTTCGAACTGGTCACAAGGGATGGCTTCACAGTTAGGATAAGCCTTTCCCGCAGCAGCTTCGGAGTACGCGCCAGGTACTCCCTGGTAGGCTACGCGCAGCTGAGAGCCATGCATCGGAGCCGGGGACAAGTCGGTGATGGTTAGCGGTTTTTGTGGAGGCGGTTGAGAAGGTGGTTGAGGCTTGTTGTTTTTGTCGATTGGGACTAGGTTGAGATCGATGGTGGTCTTGTGGCCGTTAACAGCGGGGGCGAGGTGGTCCGAAGCGGAGGGAGGAGTGGATTTGTCACCGGAACCTTGGTCCTGAGAAAAGACTTTGCTAGAAAGGATAGCACAGGAGCTTTGCCAATCGGCACGGCTTGAACCGACTCCATTGGGGAATTGGACCGAATCAGACCGGTAGACGCAGCGAACGGCGAACCGAGTCAGCTGGTTGAGCCGAGGCTTCGACGGCCGAATTATAGAAGAGTTAAGATTTTGTGTAGGAGAAACCGCCTGCATATTTATAATCAAAATAATGTGTTTCCTTTCAGAAATTAAATCAAATTGAGAGGAAAGAACGGAAAGAGGAAATAGACTCTTTTTTTTTTTCTTTTCTTTTGATGTAAAGCTTGCTGTTCTCTCTGAGAAGGGAACGTCAAGCTGAGAGGAAATGAAGACGAGAGGGGATTTTATATTAAGAAAGGGGAGAGAGAAGAGTCTTTGAGAGGATGGTGTGTGTGCGGAGGTGGTTCGGTCAATCTCACACCTACCCCTTTCCCTTCTTTTTCCTTTTTTTTTTTAAATTTCGCCAATTTAGAAAAAAATTATAACATTTACCTATTTTCTATTCGCGTTTAGATATACTTACGTACTCACATGTTAATAATAAAAAATAATTTGACACATGTGAGAAGCTTTTTTTTTTTCCTTTATTATTAAAAATAGCTCAAGCCAAAACCAATTTCTTCAAAATTTTAATATTTTGTTTTTGATCTATTTATGAATTTTTTTACTAATTTTTTTATCACTGATAATTATACTTTTTATAATCTTATGACAGATATGTTAACTATACCAATCATGTTTAGCTCATTAAGTAAATAGGATTGGTATCACAATCATGGAAAGTACATATGAGGAATGATGAAAGAAGAAAAAGTTCATAATATGCTAGCATTTCCATAGCTTTTTTACTCACGTAAAATATTTTGACTTTGTTAACTTTAGACTGAAATTATACATAAGTTTATTAATTTTTAAAATTAATATTTTATTTAAAAATAAAAATAGTATTAATAAAATAATAAAAATTAATTTTTTAATTAATTTAAAAAATTATTTTTATATAATTTAAAAAATAAAAAAAAATAAAGAGCATCGATCTCCCCAAAAGAGGGGACCACGGGCTGGCGGGTAGCATCGAAGGAGGGAGCACCAGATTTGGTGTTCCCTTTGGGAGCTCTAATTGGGGCTCCCTCTGTGCTCAGTGACGGAGAGTTTTATTTTAATTAATAAAAAATAATACAATTATATGATTATAATTATAAAAATTAATTAATAGTAAAATTATTTTTTTATTCTTGCTATATTAACAAGTTGATAAAAATATTAATAGTTAACTAACAGTTAAATTTACGTGTCTAACGAAAAATATTTTTTAAAAACAGGATGCTCATTTCAAAACCTCACAAAATTTTCATTTAATTTCAATCAAAACTTAAGAGGGTCAGGGTATTTTATCTTTTTTTTATAGTAATATTGGAATAATATGGTATGATAATACATTTATATTATTATACAACAAGTAACTAAATTAACATCAAAGTTAATTATTAATACTACCCATATATGTATTATTATTATATAATAAAAAATTGAAGTAACGTCATGAGGTAACTATACTACTACCTATATCCATATTATTATGTAATGAATAATTGAATTAGCGTCACAAGTTAACTATTGATGCTATCTATATCTATATTATTATATAATGAATAACTGAATTAACATCAAAAGTTAACTATTGCTACTTTCCATTTATATTATTACATAACGAATAACTGAAATAACATCACGAGTTAACTATTGATGTTATCTATATCTATATTATTATATAACGAATAACTGAATTAACATCAAAAGTTAACTATTGCTACTTTCCATTTATATTATTACATAACGAATAACTGAATTAGCGTCACGAGTTAACTATTGATGTTATTTATATCTATATTATTATATAACGAATAACTGAATTAGCATCACAAATTAACTATTGATGTTACCCATATCTATATGATTATATAACGAATAACTGAATTAACCTCATAAGTTAACTATTGATGCTACTCATATCTATTATATTATATAATGAATAATTGAATTAACGTCACGAGTTATTTATTGATACTATCCATATATATCATTATATAATAAATAATTGAATTAACGTTACGAACTAATTATTATACTACCTATATTTATATTATTATATAATGAATAACTAAATTAACGTCACGAGTTAATATATCAAATTGCAAATAAAAACATAAAATTATATTTTTTTCAAAAGAAAATTGAGTAAATAAGTACTCCTATCACTTTTGTAGCTACTTATTTTTGTACAAGAAAAACTTCCCATTTTTTTAATGTAAGTGTACTCATGTTATCCTTAGCCTTTTCTCCTTTTTTTTTGGCATGTCTATAATTCAATCCTTTTATAATTCTCATTTTAAAAAGGTATATAGTCCCAAAAAACCCATTATATTCCATAAAATTAAAAGAATCAAAGGAGGAGGAAATCGCTTGCTAGGTGTGGAAGTGACGGCCAACAATGTTATGAGGTTTTTACAGAAAATTTGGACCCAAGATTATCAATGTATAGTTAATACAGCTTTGCTAGTTGGGGGATATATACTTTCTCCTAATTTATTGGCTGCCCAGTATGGGCCAAGCTCTTAGGACCATTGCCACATTGCAGGCCACATGGGGTAGGGTCCCAAGACCTTAAAACCCCATGTTTTGTCCTCGTTTCCTGTTTTTTTTTTTTAATTTTTTATTCTCCCTTGTTCGTATTTTGTCTCTTACTTTGAAGTTAATGAGTAAAATAACCTAATGTTTTGCAGTTAATGCTACCAAACAGTTGAAATTAACTTGGATTAATTATAATGAGGAAAAGTTTTTAATTTGGTTCTGTTTTATATCTCCTATGTATTAATGAAAAATAAAAGAAATGGAAGAAAAAAGCTAATATTATCTATGATTCTCTTCAGACAAAAATATGATGAAGTCATTATCATGTTATAATTTCGTCAAAAGGAATAGACCTACCTCACATCGTAGAGAGGCAAAGATTTATATAACAAAAAAATGGTTACTTTCATTAATTGTCCAATTATAGTTAGACAACAAAAAAATCCTTTGCTGGTTTTTCTATTAATCATGTTGTCTGTATTCATCCCTCAAATTAATTAATATTGATAAAAAAATGTGTTTGCTCTTAATTCTAACAAAATTTCTTGCTTAATCTCATGCAATAATTTCATCTCTCATCTTTGATCAATAATATTTTTATTATCTCATTTTATGTTCTATGATTCCGCCCTCACTTACCCCTTAATTTTTAGAATAAGTATCCTAAGTGAAATCCCAAACATTAAAAGACAATGATTTTGTTTATATTATTCTTGGAATTATTCTTTTTATACTTGTTGTTGTATACTTGGAACCCATTTTGGACACATCAATTTCATTATAACATGGTCATGTTATAGTCACAACACTACCCCTAGCATGAAGAAAAAGCCTCGTTAAAAAACTTTTTTAATGAAAAAACCCCATGAAACAAAAATTATGAAAAAAAAAAAGTACTTTTCTGATATGCTCTCCATTATATAGCAACGACTCCTTCCTCCCAGCTCGACAACAAATAAATACAAGTAGTTCATATCTTGCAAAATGACTTTAACTCTACTTAGCATATTATCAAACACTCTCCATACAATTGTTCATCAATTGCGCACAATCAATTTCAGACTTCATTAACTTCAACATTTTCCTGCACACATCTCTTCAACGCCCACACTAATGCTCGCAACTTTGCATCTCATATAGTAGTTTCAATTTCCAATCGTCGTGTACCAACTCAGATTGCCTCCCGATTCGATTCTCGAACAATGAATCCTGCTCCCATGACCTTTGCATTATTGTATTCAAAGACAACTGCATCTGAATAAGAAGCACATGGTTAAAGAAAACCCTAAAATAAAACATTATTGGAGTCTTTGATAGGTTATGTTGCACTTATTTTCTTGAGCTTTTGAGAATTAAAAATATCAACAAATTAATTAATTATATATATATGTCAGTATCATATGACATAAAATGATAAAAATTTATTTAATTAAAAAAATAAAAATAAAAATATTTAATTACATATAATAAAAATAAAAATTTATTTAAATTTTTAAAAATAATTCAAGATTTTGTTTTAGTGTTATGTCATTTAATTTCCACAAGTTTAAGCCAAGAAACTAAACAAACAATACTGACATTTTATTCTTGTAAAATGTAATCCATTTTTTTGCTTTGATTGCCAAAAAAGAAAAACATGAAGATTTGAAAGAGGACAATATTTGTAAGATTCCAGATTTTCTAACGTGTAGTCTTAGGAATCAAAGGCGAACTGACCCAAGATAACAAGAATTGTTGTCAAAAAATCAATTATACCTCCCTAAGGCAAGCTTCATAAGTTGGGGGATTGATTTGGCACCACAAACGTAACTTTATACCTTCCTTTTTCCTTTTCCTTTGATTGGTTAACTGTACCAGGAAATCAAGCAAATGCATGTCCGAAATGTTTGGTATAGAGAAAGCCAAAAGCAGTGAAAAATATAGTACTGATGAGGGAACGACAAGTACAAGGAAAAAGGTAACGTATAAATGATTATGTTTTGCAAAACGCAAAAGACTCTATTTATAAATAGAAAATTGGGCTGTGGATTAGAAACTAATCTGTAATTATACAAAACAAACCGACATAATTATCATGGCCAACAATATGAAAATTGAAAAAGATCTTTCTCTAATTATATATAGTTCATCTATACGAGTACCATAAAGTTTAAATATTGGGGGATATGTATATATATAGACTTTCGCAATGTCATGTTAAAATTAAGTAGTATTATATAAATATTATGTATTTATATTGCATCAAATATAATATATCATATACACTCGAGTATTTATCTTAGTGGTTAATATATGATCTTTTTGTCTAAATTGTAGAGTTCGAATCCTCATTTTCTCAATTAAACAAAAAAGTAACATATCATATCAAAATTAATACAAAGAGTTTTTTCTGTTTCTAAATTTTTTAACCATATAATATACATGCAATGGTTGTGATATGGAAATTAAAATTTTTACCTAGTATTAGTATATATGTTAAGAGTAATATTTTTTTTTAATTGGAGAGAGAGATTCAAACCTTACTTTCTAGATAGAAGAATCAAGCTCTAATCAATGAATCATATGTTCAGGTACATGTTAAGAGTAATATTCTTTAAAGAGAATTAGATTAGTAACTTGGCCTTGTTTATCCTATCTAAATGAGATTAAGCTTTTTTTTTATAGTTTTATGGTAATTCTCTTCCTAATTCATTACACGAAAT